ACACAATCAAAAGCATTCCTAGAATGCTTCACTGGATAACTTCACATATATTACGTCCAAGATCCGGTGGCCACTCTAGGCTAGACAGGACAGATATTCATCTTCTGCATATTTTGCTAGATAGGGTTCCCCTAAACTGGCCAAACTACTTTGTCAAATGCATGTTTCTTATGCGAAATAGTCAGAAGAATACAGCCCTTGGACATACTGCTCAAATTATGAGAATTATCAAGTTTTAGAACCTTGTTATTCCTCCTGTTCCTCTCATCTCCCATTCTGCTACCCAAGAGTTTAATAAAGCTACTCTATCTCACATGGGATACAGATCGGACAAAAACCGTCAATGCCTTTATTTTAAGGAGAAAGGGTCAAATGTAAGGGTATATAACTTTGATATACCCTCTGAATTGATTTATGAGGACGAGGATCCTATTGATGCAGACATGCCAGATATCAATGAGAATATCCAACCTGAAGCAAATCAGGATGGAACCGCTTGGGGTGAGTGGGTGCCAAACCGGTGGTCTCCAACAAATTATCAATTTGATCAAACCGCACAACCTCATGATGCTCCCACTACTGCAACAAGCTCTTCCTCAGAAGCTCTTGCTTACCTCACTGCCATGTTTCAGCAAATGCAGGTTGTCAATGATTCTCGACATGAAGAAGCGAGACAGTGGCATAACCAGCAAAATGAATGGCAAAAAGAGCATGAACAATGGCATGATGAGCATACACGGATGTACCAAAATCAGCATTCGTGGCACTTATATTTGGTCAAATGGCACCAAGTATTCTACAATGAGATGACAAGCTTCGTGGATGACTGTCGTCAAAATCCTGGAATCATGGGAAATTTCAAAAATATCGATATCTAGAACAGATTTCGACGATATCAGTTCATGACTCAGAATCATGACATTAATCCACCTCCACCGCCTCCTCCACCCTACAACTATGACGAATCCTGTGATGGGCATAATCCCTAGTTTATATCTCCATGTCATACATTTCATACCATTAATTCATGCCTCTTTTTCTAATAGTTGTATTAATGTCTCCTTCAAACAATCTATTTTGCTTATGTAATCTAACTCTTATCTTCATTAATTACTTTTAACTTGATTACTTCTTGTTTACTCAATTATTTACTCATTTATTGATAACATTATTCCAAGATATTCTGTGTGAATGCCAAGACAATATATTGCATATCAATTTTCTTATGTGCTGAGATTGCTGAAAATATTGCTTAATCTCTTTTTGACGTGGTCAAAGGGGGAGAAGAATATTGTGTTAGTGAAGATTGTGTTAGTGTTAGAAAGAAGATGCACAAACTCAGGGGGAGAAAGCTTATTCACCACACATTATCATATATTTGCCATCATAAAAAAGGGGGAGTTTGTGAGCAACCCCTTCATAATTGGTTTTAAATGATTGCAAGTATATGTGAAATAATAAATACATGTGTGTATTACAAAAATATAATATAACATGTTTAAAATAGGTTAAAAATGTATTTTACTCATAATGCATCATTATGAGTCGACACAACAGGTTTTGCATCGATCCATAACATATTGAAGTCCCTGGAATACTATCTCAAACTATTATGCATCGATACAAAATCTTATGCATCGACACATAATACTTTGATGCCCCTGTAATGCAAACTTAAACTTGCATGCATCGATACAAAATCTTATGCATCAACCATGTTTTATCTTCAAAAATTAAAATTACAATCAGTATGCACCGACACATACATGTTATGCATCGACGGATATAAAACTGTTGGTTCTGTAAAATGTTATGATATGATCTTTCATCGACTCAAAACAACATGTGTCGACCCATCCTGTAACTCATAACTAACATGAGTCAACTCATGACCAACATGCATCGACTCATAATACTTTCTTTTGCCTAACCGTTTTCTTTTACATATATAAGCAAGTATTTTTCTCAGCAGAAAGTTATTGCAACATATTAGAATTGTGTGCAAACATTTTGTAAGCAGACAGAAGTCTAAAGAAACTTCATCTTCATCATCTTCTCAATCATCTTCATTCAACAACAACAACGAAAATCGAACATCCTTGTTGAAGTGGATCAAAAGGTCAGAGATAACGTTCAGCTGTGTATTGAAAGAATCTCATCTAAGTTGAAGATTGTAAAGGAGGCTTCAAGAAATAATCCAAGGAGTTTGTCCTTCAAGAACGAGTGTGTTCTTGAGGGTTTTGTTAGTCACGGTCGCACGAGTTGGATTCAGCCGTAGCGAGGGGTTTGGAAATCAAAAGGATTTTTGCAAACAGGTCATGGAAGCGGAGGATCGATTGTGGACCTTGCAGAGAATCTTGATAAGCTCATATCAAGTGGTGGTTCTTATAAGAAGAAGAATATCATAGAGATTTCTATTTGTCTGTGTAGTGTAACGTTGTTATCAAACATTCAGCAAATTGTTATAAAAGTTCTCAGTTTCAATTGTGAAATTGAGAGAGAGAGACGTACCCACACGCGAGGACGACAGTGGAACTTCCTTACCAAACTGCCTACGTATCGTTCTTTCTTTCTTTCTCTTTATCTTTTTTACATATTCCATAATTTTGTAATTCAATTGGCTTGCTAAGTTTTTCTGTCTAATGATAAAAATAGTGGTTCAAATACTTTCATCAAACCACCATTAAATCATTAAACAAGCATATGCCAAGTGTTTGACAAAATTCCTAACAAATTTATTAATTCATTGGAAATACTGCTTTAATGATAAGTGCATTGAAATGTTAAGAAATCTGAGTTGTATATTCATCAATTTCATCTAATAAAATCCAACAAGTTTTTCACATGTCAGGTTTTCTAGTAGTCGGTTCAAAGTAGACATAATTGATTCAGGACATTAATTTTCCGCTACTTTCAACACACTTTGATAAAATAATTTTAAATCCTTGAAAAAGTAAGAGGTGATCTATTCACCCCCCTCTCGATCACTTGCCACACCGTCTAACAACATTTTTGTAGCATCAAGATGAATACTCAACCCACTTTGACATCCTTCTTCAAGGATACTTCTCTTAAGTTCTGGAATATCTGAAACACACACTCTATTTATGAACCTCATCACCCCATTATCATCAACTTTGAACAACCAACTTCAAATCATATTCTGTCCTTCTTGGATTTCTTCTATTATACCACTAGTCAGTTTCAACATTTCCAACTTCACGCTATCGGGATTTTGTTCATATACTAAGCTCATATCTCTAAATTATTTGATCATTTCCAACTCTTGAACCATAAGCATTGACATATGCAACAATTTTCTACTCAATGCATTGGAAACTATATTTGCTTTACCCAGATGGTAATTCAAATCAAAGTTATAATCCTTCAACAACTCAAGCCATCTTCTATGCACACAAAACCTTCTAAATCAGCTCACCATAAAACCTGCAAGCATTAACCAAAAGCAAACCACTTATTATACAAATCAGGACAACCAGTTCAGGCCAAGCATTATGGCCGTTTAGTTCATCAAATTCATACAAACTTACAACCCTGCACTTATTAAAACAAACAACCTGACAAAGAACAATTCAAGCATTAACACCCTATCAATTCGTCCGGCAGAATTCAACAATTCATTTCAGCACGTACATAACCATCACGAAACTAATCCTCATTAACTAGTTCTCAAACTAACATTTAGACTCTAACCTTTTTTATAACAGTTTTTTAATAAACCAATTTCCAACCTTGCCTTATTTTACTCATAACTCTTCCTGTTTATAAAGAGAAATATCAAAAGAAATCCAACCTGCATTAATTTAGTTCACTTTTTATCCAGTCCATAAAACCAGTTTTACAAATAAAAAGCTAGCAATAAACCAGTTCAAAACAGAGATTACTAACAAACACATTCTAGCTGTTAATTCTAACTAACATTGATCCTATTCACTTACAATTAACTACCTATAAGTAGTACCTAATAAGTACTCTTACAAACTAACTTGTTTTCATAAGCTAACTAACTTTGAAACCAGTTATAACAAATTTCTAACTTGCAACTAACTGTTTCAACTAAAATTCACTAACTATAATAGAACTTCCAACTGACTCGATCTCATCCTCCATTTCATAACAGAAAATCAAAACCGAAGGCTCAAATTTGTCCAGCTCTAACTAACTTCCTAATCATAACAGAATATATAAATCGAAAACTCACCAGAGATTGGTGGATTCTCCAATCATTGGAAGGATCATCCAAAAAACATCCACCGAAAAACCTCTCTCCTCCTCTCGTCTTCATCCTCTCTACCTTCACTCCATTCTTCAATTCACAGAAGAATCACAAAAAATTCTCTCTTTCTTCTCCTCTCATCTTCATCTTCATTCTTCAATGCTCTAAGATGAATCATAAAAAACCCAGAAAAAGAGCTTCTATGTACTCTCTCTGAATTCCATCTTCATCTTCCTCACATCACTATCGGATCAATCTTCAACTCATCAACTACACTGCATCTTCAAGAGCTTCATCACAAAACCAACAAAATATCTCTGATTTCTCCATCAATAACCTTGATCTTTCTCTTTGAATCGCAACTTCTGCAACAATGATTTTTCAGTTTTTTCATCAACAACAACGTTCCTCATTTCTTAACGACTGCAACAATCAATTTCACGACATCTCCAATCTTTAACCTTCGTCACTGCAACACAACAAAATGCATAAACATAAGCTTGAAAGCAAAGAAGAAGAGAAGAAGAAAATCAGAATGCAAAAGATACAGAGTTTTGAATCATACCTGGTTGCATGAATCACAGATACACCGTTGCCACCGCCGTTAAAATTTGGTAGCATGTCAAACTCGATTTGGGGATTAGGTCTGATCCTAGGCATCTTCGTGACAAAATCACGAGCCACCGTGAGGGACAAAGGCACGGGGTAGTAGAATCAGCACGAGGAAGGTGAATTTGTATCGAAAACAAATTTGAGACAAGGTTCACGATAGAGATTGAAGAGTGAAATCACGTTGTTGTGAACAAAACAAAGACCGTGATCGAAATGAATGGTGTTTAACAAAGACGGTTGATTCGTGATAAGAACAGAGATGAACAAAACTGAAGCAGAGTTGAGCGAATATGGGATGTTCATAAAGTAGAGTCGTTGACGGGATAAGAATGATGGTGAACAATGATGAGTTGAGAATGATAGGAGGAATCATGACTGAGAACGACAAGGGAGGTCGAGTCAGAGATCAACGCTCGTCGTAGTTTTGATAAAGAAGAAGGAGCTTCCGTTCCACATGAAAGCTCAAAAGTCCCAATTCTGAACCCTATTCTTTGTGATAAACACATTGTTTAACTTCAGTTTTTACTTCAGTATTTTGTGTTTTTTTGTTATATAATAATAATTTGAAGTAATGATAAAATATGCTGATTGGAGATAAATTTGGTGATATGGTATTGGGTCAACTTTGCCTGGGCTTTAGACTAGAAGGAACTAGCGCCTCACTCTCTTATAGGCCCACACATTTTTTGGGTAAGTTGAAGCCATGTGCAACAAAAATAACTTTATGGACTTTTGATAGTGGGCATATGCCTATTTTGTGGATCAAATAGCTTACTGAACACACACTAGATGCAGATTACACCCCTGGTCTCAATTTCATTTTTAATTAATTGTTGGGATTGATTTTCTGTGATATTGGTAAATAAAAGAGATTTGGGTGAAGGTTTCACGAAGTTCCGAAGCTAGCTAAGAGCATAATTCTCATCAAGGGAATTCAAGGAAGCTTTTTAGTAGAGTTTTCTTATAACTTATGTGGCTTTGAAGAGGCAATAAACCTTCTCCATTAGGTATCACTGTGACTTTATTTTATTCTTCATTTCAGCACTTTACTGCTTTCTAGATATCATGAGAAGTGGGAAATAAAGAGTGTGCTCAAAGTTATTGTTTAAAGTCTTGTAGCAGGCATCACTTTCTGTATGTTATCTGTGTTTGTTTAAAATCCTACCTTTGAAGTAGGTATTCCACACATGTGTTTACATTTGTGCTCGCATCTATTCCCTCATCCCTTATTAAAGTCCTCAAAAGGAGGAAACCATAAAGGTTTAGTAGCCAACCCCCACACATTCTAGTCCGTGTCATCTTTAGCTCACGTTGTACGTCAATGCTTTGGATTTGAGCAGACCTTGTGTATCGAGTCAGTCATGTGGAAAAGGGTTTTGCCCCAACCCCCACACCTTGTCAAGAGTTCGCAATGGCCAATGCTGACACTCCACTACCCGCTTGTTTGCTTCGGGTGATTCACTCCCCTTAGCTAAAGTATTTCTCTTCTTTTCTTATTTCATCTCTCTCCCGCTTGTTTGCTTCAGGTGATCCACTCCCCTTAGCTAAAGTATTTATATTCTTTTGATTTTATACCAATCTCGCTTGTTTGCTTCGGGTGATCCCCTCCCCTTAGCTAAAGTATATCTCTTGATTTTTATTTTACCTACCTCGATTTGCGATATCTTGGTTAGGCCAGTTTGCTTGAGTTAGTGTGCACTACTTTTGCCATGTATTTTCTCCACTTGCTTGAGCTTGTTGCTTATTTGAGGCACTACTCTTGCCATATATGTGCTCTCTTTATTGCTTGTTTGAGGCACTACTCTCGCCATGTATGTGCTCTCTTTATTGCTTGTTTAGGATGTACTACTCTTGCCATGCATGTTCTTCCTTTGCTTGCTTGCTTTCTTTGTATATACTATGCTCCCTTATGATGTGCTTCTTTATTTCCCGATGCAAGCTAGACCTTAGGATAGTAATCCATGCATGCTAACATAGATAGATGTTTCCCCTTTATCCTTGACATATGGCTATCATTGTATGATAACATTAGGGATTAGATTCTAGATAGTCTCCCTTAGATGTTTTCTTTCTTTTTGCATCCTTGCATTTAAAACTAAAACATTTTCTTTTTATTTTCAAAACGTCTCTAATAAACTTAAACCCTTTCTTAAGGTAAAAACACTAACCAACTCCTTTCTTTTTGCCAATCGGTTTTTCTCTTCTAAGAGAATGTTAGTTCCTTTCCACTACAGGTCGTAAGTCTCCAAAGGTCGAGCAGCAGTGGAATGATTGAATCTAACATTTTTCAATTAAAAAAAACCCACCAAAACAAGTGAGTCGAACTACGGTAACTCTGATTCCTCAAAAAGAATATGTAGGAATTGGGGTAGGGCCTAAGCGAGCACAACTTTATTTTCCCTACATTATTTTCTCTTTTCTTTTACATGTATTCCCTCTTTGCATTTTATTTTAGCTCTTAAGCTTAGATTTGAAACACACCCTTTGATTAGAACAACAAGAGTGGATACCGTAGAGTACTATAGGCGTGTAGGATGCTAATACCTTCCCCTTGCGTAACAGACTCCCTTACCCATATATCTTGGTCGTTCGACCATGATTTTACCCTTCTCAAGTTTACTCGATGTTTACCTTTCCCGTCTTGTGGGATAAAAAATGTTCGATGGCGACTTTATTGATTTCACCTCGATGATTTATTCAGTCGATTGTTTCACTCGTTCAAAAAGCCGTCTTTGGAATATCATCTGGTTTAACACGAATTTGATGATAACCGATGTGATACGGTGGCAGAACCGACTGTTAATACTGGTTTGCGTTTTGTGTTTTTTGTATGCAAAATGCCGCGGTAAGAAAGAGTCACCACCGACTTTTATTTCATCCAATCATGGAAAAGGAAAAAGAACAGAAAAAACCTTTTTTCGAGATATTCTGAGTACGGGGGGTAGATTATAGAAAGGGAAGGTGTTAGCACCCTTTCTATCCATGGTTTTCCATGGGCTCTTAGGTACTTGCTCATCTTTTTAAAATTTCTTGTGTGTGTGCTTTCTTTGAAAATGTTTTACTTCGTGATAACCCTTGTATCAGTCCTCAAGGATGTGACGGAGTTGTTTTGAAAAACTGTTTTTAAAAGGTGTTTGTGTGAAAAGTTTTTATTGAGAAAGTACCTACCAACATCTATTCACTCGGAAAAAGATTATTTTTGTTCTATTTCCTTTAGACAACTCTATCCTACTATTAAGGAGTAGGTAGCACCGTCGTTGGAGTTTGTAAGGGATGTTCGAAAGGGACAAGTACAATCACTAAAGCAATAGTTAAAAAACTTTAGTAGTAACCCTAGAGTCTTAAGATCTTTTCGAGGCAACATTTCCGAGGCAACATTCGAATGGGACAATTTGATCTCTTTAGACTGGAGGGCAACCACTAAAATCTCCTATGCTTAATGATTTTTTACCGAAGGCAACCAAAGTGAGGTAAACCCTAGGAGTGAACATGTGCGAGTGATGTGTTTCAATTATTTTAATCTTTGCACATTAGGGTTTTCTAACTGTTTTAATTTTTCATGCATTCTTGCCATAAAATCCTATTAACCATACATCTAGACAGTTAATAATTTGCTGAAAGTAAACGCGGAAATAAACCTAGCTATTACATGGCTTTGACAATTACACAATTGCCTTGACGTAAAATAAAAAATGCAGAATTTAAAATCCTAATTAAACTATTACAACCTTGAAACAATTACAATAATTTGAATTAAAAGAAAGTCAAGGCGCGCGCAACGAATTACGTACGAGAATAAAGTTTGAGTCCTAAAAAATCTAATCAATTAAAGAGGAAATATTTTTTTACATTTTATTATTGCGAAAAAGGTTTGGAATTTTAACCTAATTTGTCTAATTAATTTTAATTATAAAAAAAGAATTTGAATTAATCTAATTAAGCTAATTAATTAATTGCAATTAAATATTTTTATGAAAAAAAGAAAGAAAAAAAAACTAAAATCTAATTTTTTAGTGATTTTCTGATTTTCTGATTAAAAAAATTGATTTTTGTTGTGAAAACAATTAAAAATAACCAATAAAAAAGAATTAAAAAAAAAGAGAGAAAGATTTGGGCCTGGAGTGATGAAGCAAACTGGGGGTGTATGTTGAACTTCTTAAACCCAGAAGGATGGCCCAGAGTCTGGCGCCTTATCCAATGAGACCATCTTCTAGGGACTCATGGTGGACCTGCGTATGTTGGCATTGGATCTGGCTGGAGATGGATCTAGAGGATGAGATCAGAGGGCGCGTGATGATCCTCAGAAGGTGAGGTGTGCTGGATCTGGCTGGAGATGGATCTAAACGATGAGATCAGAGGGCGCGTGATGATCCTCAAAAGGTGAGGTGTGCTGGATCTGGCTGGAGATGGATCCAGAGGATGAGATCAGATGGCGCGTGGTGATCCTCAGAAGGTGAGGTGTGCTGGATCTAGATGGAGATGGATCCAGAGGATAAGATCAGAGGGCGCATGATGATCCTCAGAAGGTGAGGTGTGTTGGATCTGGTGAAAATAATGGAGAAAATGCCAAAAGCTCACTCCTGGGATCGAACCCAAGACATGAGCTTCATACTTCCTTCCTATGACCAACTGCGCTGGATGTCTCAATTGTTAATATAATAACGAACATATAATATATTAGAAAACAAGTTAGTGGCCAGAAAACACGTGCCAAATTCAAATGAAACAACCACGTTGTGGCACACATTGTCTTCTTCCTGCAATCGTCGTCTTAGGCATGAAGCTTTTACCTACGGTTCATGGATGTAACTAAAACCATGCATATTTCAAAAATCTACCACGAGCAACATAAATATAATTTAAAGCCACAGATCTACTCGTCTTGACCTCACGAGTGTGATGGTACTCCTTTCTTGGCCCAATTTTCCCTGTACTGAAAAGCCCCAAAGTGGACCTTAAAACCCTAACAATGGCAATCACTCGTACCTGCATTTAAACTCCAATCAAACAATCCAGAAACGTGGCAAACATGATGATAAACGCAAATATATGCTTAGAACATGTTTATGATGAGTAAATTGTTAGAATCAAGTTTAAGATTTTGTGCAAACTGTGACGGTTGTAGGATAAAATTCTGGACGTTTGGAAGCCTGCAAATAAATGGAGTAGCTCCAGAAAGTGTCTAGGAGTGGATTGCTGGCCTCAAATCCCCTTGAGAGTGGCTCTAAGATGGAATTTGATTTCACACTTTTTGTTCAAATTTTCAGTTTTGTTCTAGCAGCTTGCACGTCCAAAAACCTTATGCCATGCTTTGTTCTTGTCCATTATATATCTAGGAATGAATTAGGGTTACAAATTAGGACTGAATCTTTG